ATATATTCCATATAGTTCAAATGTAATGCATTTGTATTGGACTTAAAGTCCTGTTTCCAACACATCGGTCACACAAAAAAACCTATCAGCCGATACAATAATTTAAAAAATGCCAAACATCAGCCAATATATCAGCCTTGGGAATACATCAGTAAACCACTAATGAAACAATGCTAAATGGTTGGTTTTTGATTTCTTAAACACTGAAGTATGTTTCGTGTGAACATATGTATCTGAAAGTATCAAGGAAATTCTGATTACTTGTGATTAAAAAAACCTATTAAAGTGGTATCACCATAAACTTGATCTCAAGTTTAGGCGAGCAGAAATGGTGTTGAAGATACTGGAAAAGTTCAAATGAAACCTAACTAGACAGACAAAATCCTGGCAGTGGTGCCATCTTTATCAAGGTGGGAGCATCCATGGCCTGTGGAGTTTGTAGGTCAGAACAGCATCCTGTCAAAAGTGTGGCTGGTGGGCAGACTGCAGTAAAGCCCATGGTCTATGACTGGGATCTAAGCTGTTCAAGGACCAGTCTCTCAAAGGTCTTCATGAAGTGTGCAGTTAGTGCAATCGGAAATAGTTTTAAAGAATGCTTGGAAGCTCATTATATTGCAAAAGAACCAGTGCTAGGTCTATTTCTCCAGACTTCAGGGAGAACAGAGGCTGATATTGATATACTATATATATACTGACCTTTTATTTGCTATGCAAAGCAGCATTGATTATACAACGTCTGTCTTCAATACAAATCATATGTACTTTAATCATGTCTTTGAAAAAGAAAAAAGAAAATCAAATATCGAAAATCTGTGGGTTTCATAACAAGATAATTCTGTGTAATGATGTGACAAGCCTCTGTGATATATTATATTGTGTTTTGTGCCCACACATTCTCCTCAGATCCAAATGTCAGCGAAAGGTGGAATAATAATAAAGGACAAGAAAACCTGAAATATAACACACAGGACACAGGTTTACAGGCTTCTCAAGAAGAAAGAGAATATGTTAGAGCTCACAACAGAGCGGGATAACAGTGACTGAGAAAAGCTGCTGCTATTATTTGCCTGGTAACAATTCTGCTGTCACTTTGAGCATGAAAGACAAGGGAAAGAAAGAAAAACTATTGCCACACTCGCTTATTTTGATTTCATACCAGATTTTCCAAAGAAATCATGGGTAATGACAAATAATTTGTCTATTTTGTGTTTGTATGTCCCATGTTGCCCATAAGTATATCCCATATTGTTCTGAAGTATAAGACTTCCAAATGTAATAGAG